CCCCAAAACCCCAAAACCCCAAAACCCCAAAACCCCAAGTTCACCTTATAATGTTGAATTATTCATCAAAATTTTCAATTTTCCAAGATTTCACTATATTGTTCATAAGCATTGCAATTGTCATGGGGCCGACACCTCCAGGGACAGGGGTGATGTACTTAGCAACAGTTTTGGCAGAGGCAGTGTCTACATCACCTACCAATCTTGTACCTGACTTCTTCGTCTTGTCCTCTATGGAGTGGATCCCGACGTCGATGACGATACATCCAGGTTTAAGCCATTCTCCTTTGACAAATTGAGGTTTGCCAATTGCAGCGACTACGATATCTCATTCTTTAAGAATGCTCTCAATATCTTTTGTCCTTGAATGGCAAAGAGTCACAGTAGCATTTGCATCCTGAAGTAGACTAAACATTGGAAGTCCAACGATGTTGCTTCTTCCTATCACAGCTGCTCTAAGGCCACTGAGATCAGGACAAACAGTCTTGATTAAATGCAAGCATCCGAAAGGTGTTCAGGCGACAAATCTAGGAGATTTTCCTCTCATCACAAGGTCAGCCACATTTGCTGGGTGTAGCCCATCAACATCTTTCTCTTTGCTGATTATGCTGAGGACCTTGTCCTCATCTATATGATCTGGAAGAGGTAATTGGACAAGGATTCCATGAATTTCAGGATCATCGTTAAGCTCTTGCACTTTAGTAATAACTTCTTCTTCAGTAGCATCCACCGGAAAATTGTCACCTAAGCTCAAGGTAAGAGAGGAGAAATCAAAGTACAATACCTTTTACTTGAATTCCAATCTCTTCACAAGCTTTAATCTTCATCTTGACATAGAGTGACGAATCTGGCCTCTCTCCTACAATAATATATCCAAAGCCTGGCTTTGGAGTGACTTTCGGTGATTTAGCTATAAGTGTAAATCCAAAGGCTTACTTTGGAGTTCCTCAAGCTCGGCCTTGAGGCCATCCTGGACTTCCTTCGCTACCTTTTTACCTCTAATCAGGTTGCCAAATTCTTTCTCTTTTGTTTCTTCCATATATCCTAAGTAATTAAAATATCTTATCAATGAAGCTGAATTAATAAGGGGTTTTGGGGTTTTGGGGTTTTGGGGTTTTGGGGTTTTGGGG